TTATTGAGATCGGTAAACCAAAGATACTCCCCCTCCAAGAACAGTATATGAAAATTTCGTCTCGTATGGCTCAAGCGAAAATACCCCAACAATGAACGAACATTGAGATTTTAAACTTTTTAGCCACTTGATTCAATCTTCCCTGAAGATAGGAAAATAGCTGTAGCCTCACTTGCCCTTTTTATTATTCTCCTCTCGCCTGGACTGAATTTCATCTGCTGGCTTTGTGACAGTCTAATCAAGCGAGGAAGACTAGTGAATCTAAAACTAACGTGTCTACGGCAGACTGTTATACATGTCAAAATTGATAGACCATTCATCATAATCCTTGAATTGAATTAGAATCCGTTAAATTTTCATTTATTATTATTATTATTATTATTATTCATACTTATTCATTTCATTGATTTCAAATATATATAAATATATATAAGTTCGGTAGTACTTAACAATCAGAAAAAACAAAGGCCAACTGCATTTACAACCAAGCTGATGGCTCTCAAAGTGTATCGATGATCGCAACCAGGGCTCAGAAGCCATGTCCAAGAGCTGCCTTAAGGTTTTCTTTCAAAACCAAGGCCAATAACCAATATGCTACTTCATAATGATAAATGGATTGTAATAAATATCGCAGCAAATAACAAATATCATCTTTCATGGAAGCACCAAGTATAGGATATTAAAGCTGACGTAACTTAGTTGTTGAAAAATGATCTGATCAGACTTTCATTACAAAAAAGCTTTTCAATAAGCTAAGGGACAAACTAACAAAACAGCTAATGAGCAAAATATTTAGTCTTTGATTGGGAGTGCTGCAATACGTGCTAATGCAAGAGTTGTGGCACCCCGTAATGTGCCATACAATCAGGATGGAGGGACGGGGGAACCCCTTTCCAAATAGAACACAGAACCAAACTTATTAGGGGCATCTTGCATTACTGCTCTAATGCAAATGGTTTATAGCAAAACATACAGGGTTGATCACTAACACAATGTCACCTCAATTGGGCTGGACGTCATTAACAGTCCTTCCCAAGATGAAGCATAAGTAATATGGAGCTTGGGATACAATTTTCATCTAACTTTTGAAGTCACATTTCTTAATCCATTTGACCCACACCCTAGTCCCCATGTTGTGGTTTCCATTCCCATCAATAACACCACCTCACTAACAATTTCAAAAAGCTAACTCCTAATCTACTTGAAAAAATGGGTAGGGGCCTCTGTCCTTCCCACTGAATTACCCAAAAAAAAACATAGTGATAGTAAGGAATTGGGTCCGGGATTAATTGGTTAGCAGTTGAAATTTGCATTGCCAGGTCCTGGGCTCAATTCCTACTGCTGACTTACCCACAAAAAAGAAGAAGAAGAAGAAGAAGAAGAAAACATAGTGATAATATATGATTGTGTCAATCTCCTGAAGCAAACCCAGCCCAAAAGTGCAAGCATTCTGAAACAAGTGCAAGTATACCATATCCAGTTGGTCTATTGTACAGTTCTAGTCCATTGGGGTATTCAACATCCAAAAGAATGAATGGTGATATGAATGCAACAGACTAGGACATGACCCTAAATGAGGGCCCCACTCACTGTCCATAAATTCATTGGACAGTGATGACCCCAATGAACTACGATTTTCCACAGTTCATTGCATTAGGGTATGATTTTCTTGAAACAATGGTCTCCAGATTAAAAATATTAGCCTATGGTGTCAAGAGTATAGTGTCAATTTGCTACACAAACTAGTAGAAAGCAGACTGTTACTTTCATAATTTGGTAAAATATTGTACATACCAGCCAGGAAGTTTCATTCTGAATTTCTCTGGATATATCCAAGTGTTCTGGTCTAACAAAGTTTTGCAGCAAGCATATCTTTTCTGATATTTCTTTGTCACGTTTAACATCGGCGAGAGATGATGCGAATGTTCGGCTGAACAACTTTGTCATAAGATACTTTTCCAAACCCTGCCAAGTTGAAACCTTTGTTTATATACATATTACCAAGATAAAACATATTTGAAGAATAGTGTATGTAGACTTCTAAGCCAGAGGTTCGTATCTCAATCACAAAAAGGTTCACTCATTTTTAGACCCTCATAACTTTTTCAATAGTCACATCGACTTGACGTTAATGTGTATCATACAAAGAAAACCATGACCTTAGCATATGCACACATGAAGTAACAACATAAGAGCTGCTTATTTCCCTTATCTAGGTGAAAAAAGAACAAGAAAGTATACCATAACCAATGCATATGGCATGCAGTGCACTCATTAACAATACATCCCCCACGAGAGAGCGGACAACCATAATGAGGTTTACTGACGTTCATCTCCACAACCCCTCATCAGAAATGGAGTTTGGATTCATTAGGTGAACCATTATCATAATTAAGGGTGTATGGTAGGCTTTCTCAAAAAGAAAATGGTGCTTTGAAAAATATAGTAAGTGCAAGATACACTTGAAGTTTGGTAGGACTTCAACATGAACCAAAAAAACTAACCAATTCCAAAATGCTCATTACCTCGATAGCACTATCAATTTCTTCCTCAGTGGCACCATACCATAAGGGATGATCCTTGATGGCTGCCTCCATGGTTAGGAGGAAATCTTGTAGCTTTTTGCCGTCTCTCTCAGCATCAGCAGCATGGAATGAGAATGACACAATGAAGCTGTAACAGAAATCTTATGGACTTTTAAGGGGATTGGCAAACACGATCAACTTAACTAGTAAACCATAGATAGTTCAAAAAGCTTACATATTTTCCCAATCAAAGTCTATAACACCACAAAAATAACAAGTTCACTATAGAAAAGGATAAAAACACCATTTAAATACACAAACAAAGAAAAATAGATCTTCAGAACTTTTCTAAGAACTTTGTGTATGACTGCAGAAAAAAATATGAAGAGAGGATATAGCCGAAGACCTCAAAGGGTAGAATACACAGATATACTAATCTAATTTTTCTTGTTTGTACCCATTAGAATCAGATTAAAAAATTAACAAACAAACAAGAAAGAACAATACCAGAACCACATAAAAGTATGATAAGGAAATACATATACAAACCGACAATATGATACCCATCATGATACAAGTTTCTCAAGCACCAGCATAATATGTCAGACCAATCCAGATACAAGTACATGATCACAGCCGAAGTGAACAAAAAATTAGGAAAAGAGAACAAGAAGAGGTAGAAATAAAGAGAGATTGTGAAGCACATAGGAAGAGAGAGAGAGAGAGAGAGAGAGAGAGAGAGAGCTTGAAACCTGCAATTTAAAAAAAAGCTCAAACCAAAAATAAATAAATGGAAAACATCAACTCAAAAAAAATAAAAATAAATAAATGAATAAATACAACTCAAAGCAAATTAAGTGAGAACCTGAATATAAAAAACTATAACATATTATATTCCGTCAAACCCTAGTATTCTAATAGAGTTGTTCACAAAAAGGAATTGGTAATATTGGAAACAAATAAGAAAAAGTCTCATTCGAATCAAATTCCAAACAAGCAAAAATCACAATCACGATTACCCATACAAAACTACAAAAAATAAAATAGAACTACGAAAATAAAATAGTGAGTACAATTATTCATATAACCCAAATAAAAGAAAGATTCAAACGACACAGAATTGCATTCACTCCTATTAAAATTTAAAAAGATACAAAAGAAACAAGAATGAAAATTGTTAATTCTTGATGGAAAAGGAAACCAGAGAGAAAAAAAACCCTAAATAAACTCATTATGCATCTATTCCCCTATTTTTCTCACGGAATTCAATAAGCAAACAACAAATAACATGATAATTCTTTCGCCAAAGAGAAATTAAACAGAACAAAACAAAACCAACCTTTTAATGGAGCGAACCAGGTCAACTGAAGCAGGGTGCTTCATTCGATCAAGAAAATCGTAGAAATTTGCAGGTGAAGAAGAATCCATGAAAAATAAATTCCCCAACAATAATTGTTATAGCAAATTTAAGAGAAAAAACAATAAAAACAGCAATAAAATGTTAAATAATCAATTATAAGAAGAAGAAGAAGATCTTATGTTGATGAATTTCCCCTTCCCCCTTAATATAAAGAAAAAAACCAGAGGGATTTTCCCGGAATTAAAATGTGGGCTTATGATTTTATTTTATTTTATTACATAGGTTTAAATAACGTGGACAGTTGTGGATTTGACCTCTTTATCTGAAATAATAACAAAAGTAACATTGAGATCACCCTGCGGATTGGTAATTTGGTAGGGAACATTAACAAACTTTTATGCGAATAGACTTTATGCTCCAGCGGGAGCATAATATCCAAGGATCAACCATGTGAGTATTTTTAGGACCTTAAAGTTTTGGGTGGGCCCTAAATGATAAAAAAAAAGCGCACTTCAAAAATTAACTGGAAGACGTTCTTTTGATGCTAAAAAATCCTCAAATCGATCGTCTCGACTTTAAGATGTATGGATATGAGAAAAAATGGATTTCAAGAATTGAAAATAGTGTATTTTTAATGCATTTTGTAGACCATCAATTTCAAGACTTCCAAGTGTTCATAATTATAGATGAAACAAACTTTTGGACGTGGTTAGCATGCAGTCAAGCCCGCACATGTAGAAATGCGGGCTTGGCAATAAATATATTTTTAAATATACTTTGATCCTAATTTTTAGAGAATATATAATCTCGAACATGGAGATCATAAATATGAATAAATAAATAGGTTTTGAAAACTAGAAATAATAATTACACTAAGAAATTATTTGGACCATTAGATGTAATTGTTTCTAGATGGACAACCTATTTGCATCTATCTTTAAGATGGTACCTTTGAACTGCCTGTTGCACAAATGTGGTTCAATCCGCATGAAACAATTGTTCCAAACTTTTAGGCCATCATAATGATTTTCAATACCGAATTAATACCTTTTGATACTATTTAAAGGTGCAGCTTACTTTGATTGTTTAGACCCTCAGTAACTTCATCAGTTGACCCACTTTAAAAAAAAAAAAACCTTTATAGAACGTCTCAAAACTAAGGTACACCTCACAAATCTACATGAAAATATTGTCATGAGGGTGAAAAATCTTTTTTTGATGGATGAAAAATCTTATAATTGATCATCTTGGCTTCGAGATATTTGGATATGAAAAAAGAGAATTTAAAATCCTAAATGCATCTTATGAACATTACCTAGAGCGTCTATATTTTTTACTTTTGAGTGTTTATGTACCTGTTTGATATAAACCATTTTTGGAGCACTAAATTTCATTATAAGGAATTACAATAGATTTTTAAGCCATAAGCGTCTCTGGCACCCAACTGCATCTTTTACCAAGATTTAGAAGTGTCTTTAATTGTTTAAGCTAGACACCTTATACAAATCTCACTTAAAAAGAAAATTATAAATACTGATGTACCAAGATAGGATAAAGAGCTTGTTTAATTACATCTAAGAGCTTAAAATCTGAATTTATTATTTTAAAAATAATCTTACAGTGATCCTAAAATAGATCTGAAATTTCATAACTAAAAGAGTTCTCATTCTTTTTCTTGAGGGAGTAAATGTACAATTTGATCCTTTGAGAGTACAGCTCACACGCCCAGTGAGTTAGAAGCCCGAGAAAAAATTGTACTTTTTATTCATAAATGACACATTCCAATTATCGGGACCCGAAGCAATTTGGTAACCGAGGGATAGACCCGATCTTGTTCTCAATCCTGGTCCAAATCTTGGAATTGAACATTATTTGGGTTTGGGATTAGGTCCGTGTCCAAATCGGGATCCTGTAATATTTTTTGGGTCCCAATATATAAAATATTAGTAATTACCAATTCCCCCTGTTAAATTTCCATTACTATTACCAGTTTATCACTATTACTCTTGATAATCACTATCACTCTTCGTAGCCTTATAACTCATATTGGGTTATATTAGGGTTATCATTGTACACAAAATATTTTGGACACTTCTATATTCTTGTTTTGTATATGGTGTTTTTTTTAATAAGGGTATTTTTTGTCATTAGGAGGGGTGTGATGTCATCCACATGGATCATACTAATGGTACGCTCTATGCGGATGATGTCACATCTCATATAGATGACATCACACCTCTCATAATGACCAAAAAATACTTTTATTAAAAAAAACTCCATATACAAAATAAAAATAAATAAGAGTTCAAATTTGTTGAGTACAATGATAAATTACTCTATATTATGAGTACTATAACATAACCTTATATTTAAATATAGTTAAACACATATATTTTAATTTTTAAATTTGAGTTCCAACCTTTGGGTTCAAGTTAACTGAATTTGGGTCCGGATCCCATATCATTTTTTTGAGTCTGGATCCAGGTCTGGCAGGACCTAGACCCGCCCCATTGCCACCCCTACCCGAGTCCCCCATTTTATGAGGTGTTTGTGACCTTTGTGCATGAAAACCCGAGAAGTAACGGTCTCATATTATGGTTAATAGTTTAGTAAAATGATAAGAAAGTGAACTGGAACTCGGAGTAACTTGGGCCTTTAGCAGGGTATTGCGTCTGGATGACGAAGAAAAAAACTACGTCTTACATGGGTATTTCTTATTTAAAATCTGACTTAGGGTAGGAAGTATGACTTGACCGAGTCCACTTCCAACTCATTCTACGATGACTCAAGCTTGAGGCCCTAGCAAGTCCATGCCCCAAGTCCGGATCAGTGATCGAAAACACGATCTTGCCATGGGCCTTGGCCCCTAGTCGGACCGGCTCCATCCAAACTAAAAAGGGAAAAAAAAAAATACAATAAACTTCAAGAAATATGAAAAATATGTTTAAAGTAAATTAAACAAATCCCATCTAAATAAGGTTAAACAAGTACCGAAAAAATGGATTTTGAAACAGTCAATGTATTACGAGGATATTTTAGAAATAATCCAAAAAAAAATGGAAATATAAAAAGGAAAAGTATAAAATGACACCGTTGACCTCTGGTACAGTGGTCACAATTAATCTTGACCTTTGGATGTGAAATTGGATGGCTGTATTTATTCCATCGATTGAGCTCGAATTTCAAAAGAAATTTTTTCGAACGTTATGATACACTCATGTTATCAGATTTCACATCAGATGGTTATAAATAATTGCGACCTCTTTGTATCAAAGATAATGGTCTCATTCTATACAATCCATATAAAAACAAGTATTCATGGCTAAAACACTTACCAATCTTTTCCAAAATAATAGATTATATAAAAAAATAAATTCTTTATTTTTTTAAATTTGTTTAAGATCCCCAATTGGACCACCCAACTCGAGGATACTCGTAACCGCCAAGGTGGCGAGTCTGAGCTGACTTGCTCGAGTTTTTAAACATAGGTCCAGATTCTTAAACGTTGGTTGAGTATGATGAATATAGTCACTTCTATGACTACATGACCACCGCATAATGATGTACACCATGTTGCAGTGCAAGAAGCTAACATTTACCTTTTTGCTTTGTTAAGGTGCTCCTAATGCTATTTCCTTACTACTCCGGGATTAAAAGTACCTTAAAAAGATGGAAAAAGTTTATAAATCGCATCAACCTTAAACTGTGCACTTCAGAAATCTACAAAAAATGATTGGTCCATTACTGCAAAACCCTCGAATCGATTATCTTGATTTCGATTATCTTGATTTTGAGACGTATGGATACCGAACAAATTCATTTCATGTCTCAAAAATAGTACATCTTGCAACACATTATTTAATCCGCCCATTTTCAATATTTTCAAACGTTTATGGATCTTCTCTATCTACTCCATATTTAGAGTATGATTTGGGACAAAGGCAAATTTTTAGGGCATCATACGAGGATTTAAAATGTTCTAGTCATTGCAAACAAAGGCGGCATGGCTAAATCCTCACTCATAACTGTAAGTTGATGAAAAGACATACAATGAAATCACTTGTCTTTAATAAAAAGAGGTCCCAATCACCATTGGTTGTCATATGTAAATTGGGAGGTCCAAGCACTAAGATTTCGTATAAGACCTTATTGTGCCAAAAATAAATAATTTTATAACATACAACCCCTAAATTAATGTTGATGGCATTTTGGTTATTTCATTAAGTAACAAGGGGTTTTTGTGTTATTGAGCCCCTTCTAATATGTATAAATGCCATCAAAATATTCCATTGTTGTTCTATGGAGACCGGTAGGTTTGAGATCAGTGCCTCACAGATTGACTGTCACTGTCTGTCTGTCTCTCTCTCCACCCTTTTTTTGAGCGTATAATACAGGTATTATATACTTAAAACATTAGTTTCTCTCTCTCCGTAATAGATACAGGTATCATTGCTCTCATACTTAATTTATTAATCAAACATGTTTCTGCCAAGGTTCACAACAGGGAAAATAACGGGACGGGCGTGGTTCAATATCAATTTTATCATGGTAACCGCCGTTACGTTAGAGAAACTGGTGTTCGTGGTTTTAAAACAAATCACCTACTCAATACAGGAAATTTACAGAAAAATCTCATTTTATTATCAAAATTTAAAATCGGCCCCCTATATTTCATATTTTACCCTCAAGTGCCAGTTTTTGTGTGCATTGTATATACAATGATCGGCTGCTCACACCTATCCTCGTCCAACGGATGGCAAAGATGAGCTGCTGTTGCCATTGGCAGTCTTAATAAGGTGTAACTTTGCCTCCTCTTCCCCGTTCATTGATGGGGGTGGACAGCAGATGGGCAATCTGTGTAGCATAAACTGTACCCAAATTCTCTGTAAAACAGGGATAGAAGAGTAATTTCATCGAAATTCTAAACTATATGGCCTGTATACAGTAAGCTTTTAAGAAAGGAAATCTCAAGTTAATATGCTTGGGAATTCTTCCTCCTAAAAGGATAAAGATGCTGCAAGTGTGAGAAAATTTGTATCAACCGGAATCACCCAGTTTCTCTCTCTCTCTCTCTCTCTCTCTCTCTCTCACTCTCACTCTCACTCTCACTCTCACTCTCACTCTCACTCTCTCATATTCAGCAAGTAAACACCCACTGTGGCTTCCAAAAAGCAGCATTTTCTACTTCATTTTCACACAGCAAAGAGAGTTTCAAATGTATGGATCTAATCATCAGCTTCGCTAACCCCACCCTTCAAATGCAAGTGTTTCTCTCTCTTCTGAAACTCGGTGAGACCCTTCCCACTACCTGTGACCCCCACTTTGCCCTTTGGATCTTCAGGAGACTTGAATATGCTCTCCCTCTTTCGCCCCGAAAAGAAACCAATCTATTATTGAAAGTACAAGAGAAAAAAACACACTTAAGTCAATTAATAAATTCACAAGAGTAGTTTAAATGGCCATATGATATAACAGTCAATGAAATAAATAAAGTGAGTCCGGAAAAATAACCAAGCTGTGTGCTCGCATCCTTTTTCAAAGCACGCAAAATTATCTTTTGCGAATAATTTCAAAGCACACAAAAATTGAAAGCACCCAAGAGACTCAAAGTTTATTTCTTTAAAGAAAGTGGAAAACTAGTCTAAACGAATCCTGAATTCAAACTTGAGCACAAAAACCACAAAAGGGCATAAATCCAGAGGTCAACAACATGTCAAGAAAATCCAAGGTCATGATAAAAACAGCACAAGAATTGGAGGGAGGAGAGATCTGACCTTGGTGGTTCCAAATCAAAATGCACACAGATGCACAATAGAGACAGAGAAAAGATGCTAGCCTACATGATTTTGCAATGTTCATACATATATATGAGAGAGAGAAAAAGTACCTTCTTGCTCTTACCCTTGGTGGTTTGGAACTGTTGCCAAGCATTCTGCCGCTTGTTCTGTGTAACTTCCAATTGCTCGAAGCGAACTTTTGACTTGAAAGCATGTATCTTCTTACGCTTAGCAGCTTTCTGCAACGATAAGTTACTAAGTGGTATATTCCATTTTGGAATAGTAACATAAGGAAGAAAGGAAACACTAAAACAACATCATATATATCACCACAATTTATATCAAGTCAATCATGCAACAATATATATCACACTAAATTCTACAAACTGAAGTGTATGCCAGAGGGATGAAGAGTAATTCCACATGATTTCGAAATCTCCTTCCCTCTCGCCCCATACAGTAACATAAGGAATGAAGGAAACACTAACAGAACATCATATATATCAGTTAATTTACATCAAGCCAATCATGCCACAACATGTATCACATTAAATTCTACAAACTGAGTGTATGCATAAAGGAACAGAGAGTAATTCCATGAGATTTTGAAATCTCCCTCCCCTTCCCTCCCGAAACATAAGGAAGAAAGGAACCACTAAAGAAATATATATCAGTATAATACAGATCAAGTCAATTCATGCAACAAAATATATCACACTAAATTCTACAAAGTGAAGAGTAATTCCACAAGATTTGAAATCTCCTGAAAAATCTACAACTTAAATGATCAATGATACTCACTACATCTTCAGGATCATCTGGTTCAATCCGAAGTTTTGGGGGTAAAGTTCGAGAAAAGGCATCTGTGCCAGCTGCAGCTGCTTGAGCAATCTTTCGCTTAATTGCTTGCTTGGTTGCTTCTGCTTCTCGTTCAGCTTCCAATAAAGCATTAACAGTACCCTCTGGTCTTGGCCTTATGCTTCCGGGGTCCACCTGAAAAGCATAAACTGGAATGTTTTTATCATTTTTTGATGTTTCCAAAATGGAATAAACCTCAAGTAATCAAATCATAAGGCAGAACTCAAATTAACTATCAACATTAGACAAGATTGTTCTCTTTCTTATACTTTCTAGAAAATTTTAATTTTGTTTCTCGTATTCGAGAAGTGATAAAGTATCAAGAAAAACATTGCCTAATGATAAATTCACTAAAATATGAAAGAAAACAGAAACCTTTTATCATCCTCATTACAAGAAGATACAAACAGGCGCAACGCAAGATATACTTATGGTGGCACTGGTGAACCTTTTTTTATGCAAATATTGGTTACTTGGTTATGAAGATTGAATTTTCCTTACAACAATGCCCTCCAGGATAGCTTGGTTCCTGCTGCCTTGAGATGTGCTAGTTTAAAGACATGTTACTGTTTTAGACATCCTTTATAGTGGCACTGATAAAACCATAGTCAAGATTTAACACCAGCATCTATGATGGAAAAGCCTTTAAACCCTTTCAGCCAAGAACTCCTCAAGTTAAAAACCAAACAATAATTATTTAAAAAAAAGAAAAAAGAAGAAGAAGTTGAAAACCAACAACTATGATGCAAGTAGAAGACATGAAAGGGCTTTTGTAATTTACATTAACTAATCTTCGTAGAGACATTAACAGATAAAGTCTTTTAATACCATTTTGGGAAGAGCTAAAGCAAGAAATAACTTAAAAGACAATAGGTCAAGCATGATGTATGACTTTCCATCTGCTTTACACAATTATCCGGGAAAAGAACTGCATAAATTTGATCCCATGTCAATATTCTGGGGGTACAAGGACCGCTACCTGGCCTGAGATGCAGCAATAGCTGGCTGGTGTTCTCATTCTGTAATCATGTTACTTGGCCATTCCATAGTAGGGGAAGATCCAATCAATGTCATCTTTCTTACTGTGATTTCTCTAAGTCATTAGATTATGTAAAGGTAAGATGGTCCTCCCTAGAAGCTGGGGAAGGTTGAGTAAAGTAGGAGGCATAGCCAAGCTCTTGGGGTTTTGGAGTTCTGTTATGTGCCTATGGAAGTATCCCTAGTAGATGCATGAGCCCTTAGAAGCGAGTAAAAGATAAAATCAGTTTGGGACTTTTTGACTCCATGAAGAAGATATGTATTTTTAATTTCATATAATTGCTGCTATGTTATCATTCTAAAGGTTATAAAAAAGAAAAAAAAAAAAAAAAAAGAAAAAAAAAAAAAGAAGCAGTCCAAGTGTCATCAACAGAAGCACAATATGATAGAGTGATAGACCCTTAGTAAAACCACAAGTCCAAGCAAGATGGCATGGAGTAAATTAGATTATGACATCGCCACGCAATTCAGAATTCAACAGCAGTGCATAAAAACATTTAAAAGTATTGCTAATATAACAAATCTTGATATAGGTGAATGACGTCTCTAAAACCAAACTGCATGACGTATTAACCACAAGTGTAAGCACGATCCCTCGTAGCACTAAAAGGCCTAGATGATAGTGTATTAACACTTCCTGATAACACAAGACGTCTGTTTCGAGTAGCTTGAAATTTGACATGTCCTCCATGGTCTACAGATTTGCTCAGTGCAAGCATGTTCTATGGATGCAAGCAGATGCAAATAAGCAGTACACACGGGTAAAATGATCCATCTTATATTTATGAGAAATATTTATTTGGTATTGGTATCCAAACAAATGAAACATAGAAAGCAGAATTCATGAATTCACTGTTGAAGATTCTTGATTATGAAGTTGCACAAACCAGAGATTCTCATCATTCCACTTTGACTTCATTCCTTTGCATCCAAGATTCCCCAGACATCACTACGCAATTCAGCATTCAAAAGCAGTGCATAAAAACATTTAAAAGTATTGCTAATATAACAAATCTTGATATAGGTGAATGACGTCTCTAAAACTAAACCACATGACGTATTAACCACAAGTGTAAGCACGATCCCTCATAACACTAAAAGGTCTAGATGATAGTGTATTAACACTTCCTGATAACACAAGACCTATCTGTTTCGAGTAGCTTGAAATTTGACATGTCCTCCATGGCCTACAGATTTGCTCAGTGCAAGCATTTTCTATGGATGCAAGCAGATACAAATAAGTAGTACACATGGGCAAAAGATCCATCTTATATTTATGAGAAATATTTATTTGGTATTGGTATCCAAACAAATGGAACATAGAAAGCAGAATTCATGAATTCACTGATGAAGATGCTTGATTATGAAGTTGCGCAAACCAGAGATTCTCATCATTCCACTTTGACTTCATTCCTTTGCATCCAAGATTCCCTAGTGTACATGAGACTATTGTCTTTCCAACAAGTATCATGTAGGTGGAGTTCATTGTGAACAACAAATCATGAATGGCAGCATTTTAGACAATAATCAACATACAGAGAAATCAGCCTATCAAAACTTAAAACAGCTCATGAGATCATACCTCTTCCTTGTTCCCCCATTCATCATAGGATACAAAGTAACCTATTGGAGTAATAGCCTCAATAGTCGCATCATACCTGAAATAAAATAAAATTAGCATATTATGTATATATGCATATTGAATTAAGAGAGGGTGATTTTTTACATTCGAAGTGATCATGTCAATATATGTGTGTACATACGTTGGTGTTAGTGTCTAAAGAGAAATGCGATCTCTCTCCCTCCCTCTCCTCTCCTCTCTCTCTCTCTCTCTCTCTCTCTCACACACACACACACACACATCCACAGACACATGCATACAGATAAAGAAGAAAGAGATACAGCAATATGAGTGCATGTAAGTATCTATGAACACAGAAAAAGAGACCAACATTGAAAAGAATACATTTAGAAATAAATATATAGAATCGTTTGAACATACCATTCCCCATCATCACTCCAGATCGCTTGAATCTTGGTGCCAATAGGGAGCCTTTCCTCAGAAATTTCACTCGACTCCTACAATGAGATTTAATATTAGTAGCTAAAACACCCTCCAACACATAAGAGCATTTGAAGTAATAAAAAAAAAAGGCCCCCCCCCCCCCACCACACACAAAACCTCAGTTTTTGTCAATTGATATCATAAATTAATATATGTTAGAAACTTCATCCCACTGTTTGCCAGAATAAAGATCCCTTACAACACAACCGAAACAGCCTCATGAGCTCATAAACCTCATCTCTCAAATCACCAGAACCAAAGACAATAAAACATTACGCTCCCCATCCTTTCAAAGCAATGCATGTCCCCATGCTCTCATCCAAAACTTTCTTCTTCTTCTTCTTCTTTTTTTATAAATACTTGATACAATGGTGGAGGTATAGATCTTTTTGTACCAAATGCAGACATAAAGATATATACACATAAAGAGGGGAAAAAACAAAAAAAACAAAATTCCATAAGCAAGAAAGAAAGGAAAGGTAGTAGTCAAAGACGGGATGCAACAGGAAGGCTCCATTCACTGTAAAACTCCAAATTAGAGGAAGCCTACAGCTCTTCCTCACAACTACATTTCCCCCTGGAAAAGTTAATATGCTCCCATTCCCCACTGGAAACCCTATCCCCTACTCAACAACAAAAACAAAAGCAAATTCTTCTGTAGTTAGTACAACCCAAATTAACTAAAATTTGATCTGAAAATAATCTACCCAGTCTACTAGACTTTTTAGAAACAAAGGCACTAATTAAACTGGTTGATTCTTGGCTGGATCAGACCTTTTCTATACAAGTTTTTTCTATAGACAACACAAGCTAGATCAGGCCTGCGCAATCCAAAAGCATAAAAACTGTGACATATGTTTTCAACTTATTAAAAAAAGATGTTCCTATGTATTCCAAGTTACGCCAGTTTATATTTCCAAATTCTTTTCCATACTTTCCAAATTTTCTTCTTTGTAACCCAATTCAGCCAATCCAGCTGGCACATTCATTCCACACTATGCAAATCAAATATGTCAATGTTCAGATAAACTGATACTAAAGAACACGTAAAAGTTCTACATGCCACACACTCATATGCAAGAAAAAGTCCATAGATATAGCTATCTGTATTTAGGGATACATGCAAGTGGCTGTGCTAGAAGAGTCCATCATTGCACACATGCACATGCTTAATACCTTTCAGCTACATAATTGCTGATTGGATTCTTGAATCCAATTGTCAGACTGAAGGAACTCTTACTTTTGAAAAAGATAATGGCACATAGAAACTGAGAGGTGAATCTGCGAATGAAGAAAATTTTGTATAACAGATGGAAATGCATTGGGTTGACCTTAATAACTTAATCACTTCAACGTAGTCATGAAAGGGAGTTACCATGTTTAAAGATGAGATACCATCTGACTTGTGCCTATCAAGATTGGCATCCACATCTATTTCACTACCTGAGCCAGTGGCCTCTGCTTGTCTTGCTGTCACCAAGAGTTCTTCTGTCAGCACAATAACCTGCAAACCGTGAACCCAAATCAGCCACAAAACAACATATAAATAAGACTCATAATTTATCCCTTGTCTTAAAAACTCAGAAATACGAGGCAAACTTAGGCGGCATGCGAGAATATCTGAAATAGGGGCAGGAAGGCCATCAGTAGACATAGCACCTGCACATGAACCAACGAAGGGGTGATGGGCATCTCAAATGAACATGTGTTACATGCCATGCATGTCTAGCATTGTGCCATGGCGAACACCTAATGCAAACACTCTCACCTTTAACTCAAAATAAATATATATCCATCAAATTCCCCTTGGCATTACGCAGCCCCTGCTCGAAAGACATCGATAATTCCTTTAAATGCAAATAATGGGTGTACACTAATAACCTTACATTAAACATATTAATTCAGCACATTTTATTCTTAAAAAACCGCCAAAATTCAAGGTTGCGTAAATATTTACAAATAAAAGAAAAACCATGGGGAGTATATGCTGTTTTGGTTTTTCACTTCTTTTTTCCCCTCAATTCTTCATTATAAATTCAGTCTACTATGAGTTCATTATGAAAAATGAATCATGACTGTAAGAACAAGCTACCATGAAACCAAACAATAAGAAAGATGAAACCACCCGTAACACCAGTCCATCACACCAGCCAAACTCAGTCCACGAACAGCCCACTACAAGACCCCAAATGATCATTGAAAAACACCAGAGAAAGGCAAAGGCATAACTCAAATTTCATCCCTTTCTTGCATTCACCATCGAAAGCAAGCTAATTAGATCTTCACAAAATTTCAAAAAAGAAAATAAAGCAAGAAACACAGATTATGAGTTTTATCGATTATCAGACAACTTGTTATTTCATTAATTCATCAACATTTCGAGATATGGACGTTTGTAATTTTAACAAGCATTTAATATTGCAATTCTCGACAATAAGGTCCCATTTGGGTGTATGAGAGCCATGTCCCAGCTTTGTATGTACCTGCCATCATGGGCTTCCGTGAAAATATGTGCTCATCATTCTATATAAACACTCTTGACAATATCCTTATTTTTTGCCAATAGTGGCAAGAGAAGTTTCTTTTCTTTTGCATCTACTGGCAAAACCCTGTTATTGGTAGTGTTTTATTGATGGGGTTTGATTCCTAAAAAAGCACTAGTGAATAGTGATGCCCAAGCCAATATGCTACTTATTCTAGGCAACTTAATTGAGGGTTTATCGGTCCATATAATCGATAACAATTACGGGAAGAACCAATATTAGCCTACAGGCTGATGGAAAAATGTAAGCCCATTAGTCCAGATTGAATTTGTGCAGATCTGGTAACCAGAGCATTTAGACACTAATTTTTAATTTCTTTATTTTTAAAAGAAAAAGACAAAAAACTCTCAGTGAACACTAGCCATCCATATGGGCCTCCACGATTCGATCAAAGGCAATTTAGCTTATACTATTCCATCGATCTGCATCCTAACAAAAGGGACTTCAAATATTATATGTTCTATAGAGATGCTTTTTAAGGGAGGTTCAAATTTTAGAATGATTTTTTATCCATGTGTCGGGAATGATTTTTTATCCATGTGTCGGGCCTAGTAAAATAAATCTGGCAGATGACCAGCTCAAGGGTCTTCTCAATCTAACATTCCCCTAAGTTCTGGGAAGTTACAATGCAGTTTGAACTGGTTTTCTAGCTGGGGTACTTAAATCCTATGCTAGACAAAGTTCCTACATTTAGCATCTTCAACACCAGGGCATTAGTTGCCATTCCATTGATCATGTCGTAGGGAAGGCGAGCGGACCATAGATGATAAACAATCTCCACATTGGCTGGAGTATTCACAAGGACGATATACAGAATCCACTGAGAACAAATCAGAAAATCTTGTATGATACTATCACCATTGGTTGACCTCAGAGATGGATAGTTTCCAGCTTTTATCTAGATAAAAGGGCAAATTTTAAGAAAATTTTGTTCTTTTGCAATTTCACTAGGTTAATCAAAGAAGAGGAATAAAAGAATTTCAGGCATGAGTGGAGGATTTAAATAAAATGTATTTAAAATGTAGTGAAGTGCTTCCATCATCTCGAGGGCACTAATTGCTGAAGAGTTTTACACCTATGGGGTGGATAATATGGTTTGTGAGTGCAAGACATTTGACATTTAGCAAAGTTGCAATTTTCCAAACCCAAACCTCAATGTGTAGCAAGATGATTGACCCTTAGTTAGGAAGAGAGGGAGAACTTTAACATCAAGAACACCATTCTGGTCGCTTAGTTTGCAACGCATTGCTTAACAGTTTTGCCTTAAAAAGAAAGGGAAAATATCTCCGTAGACTCGATTTTTAGGTTTCATTTTTTCATAGACCCAAGGTTTCAAAACCTTGCGGCATAGAGATTCTATCAATTATATCTTCTAACCCCCTGGAGTAACTTTACCCATTTTTACCCCATCTTTTTAGCCCAAACAAATTTAAAAAAGGCATCCTTTCTAAACCCCCCTCTCTCTCTCTTCACATGTTTCTCTTTCTCTCTCTCCTCATGAATCTCCCAAACCCCTCTCTCTCTTTGTATTTCCCCAATTCTTTCTCTCTCTCTCTCTACACATTTTGCTTTTCAACAAAGCCTTTGGTAAGCAATGTACATAATGGCTCTTTCTCTCTCTTCGCCAACAAGTTCCCACTTACCAACCAAAGATTGAGCCATCTCCACCATCTTTCTCTCACTAATGGTCTCCAAGTTTCTAAAAAACAAAAGCTTCGTATCTCTCACTAATACCATATCTTCCCTTTGATCTGTCATGTTTGAAAACACATTTTCTATTGGAACCATCTTTGCAGTGATCAACCAAGCTCCCAAATCAGATTCTAAACACTTTATCACATGGTTCTTAATAAAAAATTCTTTCATAAAATCAGAGTTAACACCCTGCATCTTCATTGGATCAAAAGCTCTAATCTCTGGTAATAACAGTTCAGAATCAACATAATTTCGAATATTCAACCTCTCAAAATGACACAGTAAATTCATGGCATTTGCCTTAGAAATCCTATACAAACCCATGACTATTAATGTCCTCTGTTTCTGCAGAGCAAAAGAAGGGAATCCAATTCATTGAAACTTTTTGCCACTCTCCCCATAACCACTTCTCCAAAGCAACAATCAAACCATTTTAGGGCTTTTATAGTCTTCATATCCAAAGGAAAACTGCCATTGATGAGGCTTGAATCAGGCCTTGCACTTCTACCATAGTTAACACCAGCATCTTTACGAGAGATGCTTAGGGCTCTTTCTAAGGAGAGAATGGTGTAGAGGTTGAAGTAACCAAAAGAATGGAGGAATTTAATGAACCATGGAGTCCATATTCTCCCACCCATCTTTTTGTACCAGCCACTTGTTACCATGCCGTCAAGGATTGGCTTTATACCCATGGTCTTTTGGGTGTCATACCAAAGGTGGAATTGTTTCCATGGTTTGGGAAAGACGAGCTGGCCCCAAGTGCCCACCATTTGGTACAAGAACACATGAGTTTGGTTGTCCAGTTGGAGCTTGTTCCCATGCTGTCCTGCACTAACAGGATGATTAAATGCTTTTCAATAAAGGCCCAAGCATGTCTTACGGAATATGCATTAACAAATTGATTGGGCTTGTATAAGAAAGAAAAGTAAAATGTCTAGAGAGAGAGAAAGAGTTGGGGAAATACGGAGAGAGAGAGAGAGACGGGTTTGGGAGATTCACGAGGGGGGAGAGAGAGAGAGAGAGAGAGAGAGAGAGAGAGAGAAGAACAGTAGAGTAGAGAGGTAGGTTAAGAAGTATAGTTACTTTAAGTTGTACGTAGGAACGTAAAGTAGTAGGGTACGTAGGTTCGGTACGGTAGGGTAGTAAGTATAAGTAAGTTAG